GCAACTTTGAGTGGGGGTGGGGAGGACACTAGCAACTGATCTTGGTGGATCAAGGTAGTCTTCACAGAGGAGGGCATGAGCTGTACCTTGAAGCAAACTGGGGATTCTGTGACATGTGGGGGAGGAGGGAAAGAATTCTGGGCATGGAGGGTGGACCTTCTGTATGCCAGGGACTCTGGTGGAACAGCACAGGTACTGGGGACAGTATCTATTGGTACATAGAGTCCATGAAGACTGCTTAATGTGTAGTAAGCATGGAAAGGTAGGCCAGGGTCAGATTGTGAAAAGTTTTGCTCATCAAACAAAGGAGTTTTTGTTTCATCTCAGAGATAAGAGGGTAGCCATTGGAGTTTCTTGAACAGGGGACTGGAAAATCAGTTGTTCCAAGTAATGAGGAAGTCTCCAGTGTGACTTTGCCAATAGGTGGCTAAAATAGAGTTGAGGTTAATAATACTACTACTACTACTACTACTACTACTAATAATAATAATGATTTACATTTATATAGTATTTTAAGCTTTACAAGGCGCTTTCCTCACAACAACAGTGTGAAGTAAAGGTTCAAGTCTTATCATCCTCATTTTACAGATGAGTAAACTGAGCCTTGAAGAGGTTAAGTGACTTGCCCATGGTCAGTCACAGAGCTAGTAAGCATTAGAGCCACAATTTGAACCTACAGTCTCCTGGTTCCAAATCCAGGGCCCTTTCCACTGGCCCCCTCAGGTTAAAGAGTGACATTGAGGCTTCTGCTTCCGGGAGCCAAGATGGCGGAGTAAAAAGGTAGTCGCTTTCACCCTCCCCTATCAACCTCTGAAAACCCAGAAAATATCACCCCAGGAAAAAAAAAACCCTGGAACAGCTGAACTAGAAGAAAGATGGGGAACAGCAGTGCAGCAGCCCAGCAAATGGGTCTCCCAGTGCCTCAGCAAAACTAAGGGAAGCAGCACTACAAAGGACCCCAGGCGGATAAGCACCTTGCAGCATTCATCTGAAAGGAGCTGAAGAAGGCAACCTAGAGTCTTCCTAAAGTCCCAGCCTTGCTGATTCCAACCCAACACCAGGTAAGCTGTCAGAATCCTACAGCCTCCAACTGTCAACCAGGAGGAGATCCTGAAGCCCAGGTGGTAGAGCAGGCAAACACCAACACCTGGACCTCTGAGTGCCTCAGTGAGGGCAGGGGGAACTGGTGGAAACCAGCTCAGAAAACCACCAGGTGCCTTGGCACTCTACTGCAAAGGAATCTCCCAGTGCATTAGCAGAAACGAGGGAGGCAGCATTGCAAGGGGCCCCAGGCAGATAAACACCCTGCAGCACCCATCTAAAAGGAGCTGAAGAAAGCTAAAGGAAAGGAAAAGCAGGCAACCTAGAATTGCCTGAAAGTTCCAGCCTTGCTGATTCCAGCCCAACACGAGGTAAGCTGCCAAAACCCTACAGCCTCCAATTGCCAACATAAGAGGCCCCAGCACACAAAGCCAGTGACCAAGACCTAGGCTCCCAACACAAGAAGCTTGGGTCAGTGCCCTCTGTTCCCCAGCAGGAGAGCTCAATCTCTTTAAAGGCCAGGGAATAAAGAAACCATGAGTAAAAAGAAATGTACCATAGATTCATATTATGAGAAGAGTGAAGATCAAGACAGAAATTCTGAAGAGGACAACATTGTCAACAAACCCACATCTGCAACATCAAAAGGGAATATGAACTGGTCTGAAGCCCAAAAAGCCTTCTTAGAAGAGCTCAAGAAGGATTTTAAAAGTCTAATGAGAGAGGTAGAAGAGTCCTTAAAAAATACAATTGGCCAATTGGAAAAAAAGTACACTGAAGAAAACAAGTCCCTAAAAAACACAATTGGCAAACTGGAAAAAAAGTACACTGAAGAAAACAAATCCCTTAAAAATACAATTGGCCAATTGAAGAAGGAAGTACAAAAACTAACAGAAGAAAACAATCTGTTAAAAACTAGAATTGGACAAATGGAAACTAATGACTCTATGAGAGAGCAAGAATCAGTCAAACAGAAACAAAAAAATGAAAAAATAGATGAAAACATAAAATACCTCATCGGTAAAACAACCGACCTGGAAAATTGATCCAGGAGAGACAATTTAAAAATCATTGGACTACCTGAAAATCATGATGAAAAAAAAGCCTGGACAGTATCTTTCAGGAAATCATAAAGGAAAACTGCCTGGAAGTCCTAGAACCAGAAGGTAAAATAACCATAGAAAGAATACACCACTCACCACCTGAAAGAGATCCCAAATTGACAACGCCAAGGAATATAATAGCAAAATTCCAAAATTACCAGATGAAAGAGAAGGTGCTGCAAGCAGCCAGAAAGAAACAATTTAAATATCATGGAACCACAGTCAGGATTACACAGGACCTTGCAGCTTCTACATTAAAAGACCAAAGGGCATGGAACATGATATTCCATAAGGCAAAGGAGCTTGGATTGCAGCCAAGGATCAACTACCCTGCAAAAATGAGCATGATTTTTCAAGGGAGGAGATGGATATTCAATGAAATAGGGGACTTCCAAACCTTCCTGATAAAAAGACCAGAGCTCAACAAAAAATTTGATCTTCAAGTACAAGATTCAAGAAAGACATAAAAAGGTAAATGGGACAGAAAGATACAAAATGTTGTTACATCCCTGCAAGGGAAGATGACACTTGCAACTCTTAAGAACTGTATTGTTATTACTCCATGTTAAAGGAGTATACATAAAGGGGGTGGATATTAGTTGACTTTGATGTAATGATAAAAAAAATCTAATCAAGTGGGTTAAATGGATCCAAGTAAGTGGATTAGTCTGATCTTAGAAAATGTACTGAGAAAGGAGGAGGCAGACAAGGGTAAATTACATTACAGGAAAAGACAGAAAATCCTATTACAGCAGAGGGAAAGAAGGGAGGGGGTGAGCATTGTTTGAACCTTACTCTCATCAGATTTGGCTCAAGAAGGGAATAAATAATCAGTTAGGTATAGAAATCTAACTTGCCCTATAGGCAGTAGGAGGGAAAAGGGGAAAGAAAAGGGAGGGGGATAGAAAGGAGGGAAGAAGCAGTAAGGGCAAAGGGGAAGAAAAGGAAAAGGGATAATAGAAGGTAGAAGAGACTGAAGGAGGTGGTGGTCAAAAGCAAAACACTAGAGGGAGGGAAAGGAGAAAGGAGAAAGAAAAGCATAGACGGGGAAAAAAAGGATGGAGAAAAAGACACAGGTAGTAATCATAACTGTGAAAGTTGAATTGCTGTCTTTTTTTTCTCTTCTGTTGAGTTTTGTTTCCTCTTTCTGATGGTTCCTCCTATTGGTCCTAATTTTTACTTAAAACTTCACTAATGTGAAAATATATTTAATAGGAATGTAAATGTATAACCTATATTAGATTGTGCACTGTCTTGGGGAGGGTGGGGGGGAGGAAGGGGGAGAAAAATTTTAAATTCAAAAGCATATGGAAGTGATTGTTGATAAATCAAAATAAATTAATAAAAAACAAAAAACAAAAACAAAGAGTGACATTGATGTGGCTTTTGAAACCACAGAGAATGATACCAGAAGGGAGGGAAAGCTCAGGTAGGCAGAGATTGGCCATCAGAGCTGCCTTTCAGTTCTCTGTGACCTCTAACATCATGAGTGAGGAATCTTTATTTAAGGAATGGAGACTGTTGCTGCTGTTGCCTCTAGGAAAGGAAACTTGGAGGGGGGGGGCTCACTTTTCTCATGCTAGATATGGGCAAAAAGTGTTTCATCTCTTAGTCCCTCCAAAGCAAGCTTATGCTTTTCTCTGAAAAAAAATTTCACCAGGCAACGAAGGGAAAATAGAACAAAACAAAACAAAATACAAAAGTGTAGAAATGGTTGCATTTATGGAGCCTAGAGATCTTATCGTAATATAATTTTGTTGGATTCTGGCTGGTAGACTTCTGTGCTTTGTGTCATCTCTTTCCATCTGCATTCTTATCAGATTTCTGTTGCTGTTATTTTTAATACAGTCACAGTGTGCAAGTCATTGTTTTGATTTTGTTTTCTTTGATTCATATCAGGATATTTTCCCACATTTCATTGCATTTTTCACATTTATTATTTTAAAAATAATGTTGTTACATTAATGTGTCACAGTTAATTCATCTTTTCCCAGTGATTGGCCATATGGGTTGTTTCCAGTTTTTCACTTCTATAAAGTTATTATATTAGTATTTTATAATAAATCATTTATTTCCCTTTAAATAACATATTCAGGAGATAGACCTGTTAGTGAGATCACTTACTCAAAAGGTATAATCAATTTTGTAATTCATTGCAAGATAGCTCTCAAAAAGATTGCAGAATTCACAGTTCCACCAACAATCTAATTCTGTGCCATGATCCCACCAATGGTAAGTTTTATTGTTCTTACCTATTTTTGCTAACTTGGGGGTATTATGTGGTACCTCAGTTTATTTTAATCTAAATTATCCTGGTTATTACAAAAAAAAATCCAAACAGTTTTTCTAGTATACCTGCATCACAGGTGTAGAATATCCAAAAATGCATTAACTATATCATGATTCTAAATAGGCTACACACACTAGGATGGGGAACCTGTGGTGTTCTAGGTCCTTAAGAGTGGCCTTTTGACTGAATCAGCTAAAATTTGGATTCAGTCAAAAGATTGCACTTAAGGACCCTTAAGGCCACAGGTTCGCCACCCCTGGCCTACAGTGATGGTTCTTTTAAACCCCAGATACGGGGTAAAGGTCAAAGTTTCAATTCTTGTGGGAATTGTTACCTTTCTTCAGTTTTTATGGTCATAGGCCACCCCCAGTTCCCAGCCAACCAACTCATAAATGTCATTTATCATCAGGAGAACCAGATGAGTGAGTACAGATGTATCTGTGCAGCTAATCCCTACAGTTGGGAAGATGACTCACAATTTGAGTGTTTTATGATTAGGTGGATTAGGAGCGTCTTTTTCTGTAGATGAGGGATAATCTCGTCATCATTACTTTGTCTTTCCCCAGTCCTAGACAGTGAATCTGTCATCAGCAGCATCCGCTTCAGCAAGGCGTGCCTAAAGAATGTGTTTTCAGTGCTGTTAATCTTCATTTACCTGTTGCTCATGGCTGTGGCTGTCTTCCTGGTCTACCAGACCATCACTGATTTCCGGGAGAAGCTCAAGCATCCAGTCATGTCAGTCTCCTACAAGGAGGTGGACCGCTATGATGCACCAGGTAAGACTTGCTTCCAAACCCCGTTGCCAACTTGTCTTTTAGGCCCTAGCTGTCAATCAAAATACGATTGAACTGAAAGATCTTTAAAGCACTAAAATCTGACACCAAAATTCTGTGGTTTTCCTTATTGAGTACCTGAGGAGGCAGCTTGGTATAGCAGAAAGAACATTGAACTTGGGTTCAAATATTGGATCTGTTTTACTGTGATTTGGCTCTATAGCCTACTCTGCTATCTCCTACCTGTGTGACTTTGGGCAGGTTACCTCACTTTCTGTGCCTCACTTTCCTCATCTGTGAAATGAGATTATATTCTATATGATCTCTAAGGTTCCTTCTAGCTCTAAATCCCATGATCCTAGGTGTATCTGAGATGTAGGGATTTGAATTTCTGTGTCTCTCTTTGTTCAAAATTCAAGCTGGCTTTCTTATCACAAGAGAAGGTGACAGAGTTCAAGGTATGCCTCTTTGTATTCTAGGCTATAGGGGATAATGGCAGTTGAGGTCAAGGATCTGATGGCAGAAGGGAAACTTGACCTGTCTCAGTATATTGGGGGTGGAATGGAAGAATGTTATGTTGAGGAGGAAAGGAAGAAAGACCCCTGTATACTTTGAACTAAAAACCCACTTGTGACTCTTCCTGAAGAGAAGAGAGCTAGGTATTCAGAGGAGGAAGTATTACTGCTTAATTTTTAAGCAATGATGATTAGAGTTATGGGTACTGCCAGGTGAGTAAGGGTAAGAGGAAGAAGAGAAGAGAGTTACGGTGGTCAAAGACTATTTGTTCAGGGGTGCTGAGGCAGCTGTCTATTGGTCTGATGATAACAGTAAACGTCTGTTGCCTACCTGGATGCAAGGTATGAAGAAAACCTCCCAAGACTTCTCAGAATAGATTACTGTTGTCTGCTTCTGGTGATTTATAATGGCTGGAAGGGACCTAGAAAGCTTTGCCAAGATTACAAAGTCTTGGGCCAGAGAAGGAAAATCAGAGGAGCTCACCAGGTATTTTCATCAATGCTTACCACTGAAAGTAAGGGGTGCAGGGAGAAAAAAATTTTTGATTTGGGAAGCAAACTGGCTAAGATGATGATGTTTGTAAATGAGATTTAGATTTCTGGACCATGGCTTTAAATATAGCTTTGACAGGCTACCAGACAGCTAGGTGATACAGTAGATAGAATGTTGGGCTTGAAATCAAAAAGACTCATCTTCATGAGTTCAAATCAGGCCTCTGGCACTTACCAATTGTGTGACCCTGAGCAAGTAACTTACCCTGTTTGCCTCAGTTCCTCATCTATAAAACAAGCTGGAGAAAGGAATGGCAAACTACTCCAGTATCTTTGTCAAGAAAATCCTAAATGGGGTCATGAAGAGGCAGACACTACTGAAACAACCGAAAACCACCAACAACAAATGACCAGAGATGAAGAGAATAAATGAGAAATAAACACAAAGTCATGGGGGGAGGGCACTAGAAGTTGGGGAAAATTGGGAAAAGTTTCATATGGAAAGTGGTGCTGGAGCTGTGTCTTAAAGGAAGATAGCTTAGATGAGAAGGGAATAAAACCTAGACCTGGGCGGCAGCCAGTACAGGGGTACAGAGTTAGAAGATAGAGTGCCACATGTGAGGAACAGAGAGAAGATAAGTGGGGTTGCGTTGAGGCTGGAACGATAAATTGGGGCTAGATCGTGAAAAGTTTTACAAGCAAAACCAGAGGAATTTATGTTTTTATCCTAGAGGCATTAGGGAAGAAAAACAGAGCAGTTAATAACTTCTGGACTTGTTTTAACAATAATTTGACCCTTCAAAAGATGGAGAAATGAAGAAAGGGGAAATTCCATTGTAGATCTGAATCTCACTAACTCATCTTCCCTGTGCTAGAAGCTTGGACTCTGCCCCTAGAAGCAGACCTCCAAGTTCCTTCTGCCACTTTCACACTACATCCATTCCCTCCCTCATCACTTTTCAGTGTGTTTCCCTCCTTAGAATATAAGGCCATTGAGGATAGGGACTGTCTTGGTTTCTTGTTGTTGCATCCGCAGCCCTTAATAAATACATGGTTTATCTACTGTCTATTCTAGGGGAAATGGTAAGGCTCAGCCTCTGTACTGGACATTTTGCCTTTGTCTTGTTCTGGTTGGGAGATAATGTGAGGCAGCATGGTGTATACAGTACGTAAAATGATTGTGGGCTTGGAGTCAGGAGGAGATATAAATTCATAGTCAGCCTTAGATACCTGTTTAACTTTGATAAACTATTAACTACCCTGAACCTTAATTTCCTCATTTGTGAAATGGGGATAATACTTACACTCTCTACCTCATAGGCTTGTTGGAAGGAAAGTGCTTTATTAACCTTAAAATGTTACATAAATGTGAGTTATTGCTATTTGACCACCCTCTGCCTCCCATGCCCACCTCTATTTTTTTTTCCAATCAAGAATGCATCCTTTTTGAACCAGCAACTGTGTCCTTTCCCATGAACAGAGTAGACAATACTGCTCCACTCAGGCAGAAAGTGGGGGAAATTCTGTCCCCTTTGGAACTCCTTGGCCCCCCACGTTCAGCAAGGATGTATTTCAGTGATGTGCTGGAGTTCTTGAGAGCTGATTGTTAAATTTCTGGTGTGATCATGTACACCTTGGAAATTAGCAAATGGTACAAACCAGGACTTAATTTATTGTTTTGTTGATTATCTAGACTTAAGAAAGTGATGGAGGATATGTTAAATTTAATTTTAGATTAAACTTAAAAGTGTGTTGCACTGCCTTTTCTCCCCCAGAGAGCTGGTTGTTAAACATTTACCAGCACACATCTAGCGTAACATCAAATTGCAGGGCACCACCTTTGCAGACAAAGTGTCTGTATTTGACCCAATGGCCAAACAATTTTGGAAAAGTCTGAGGCGGCTTTTGTGCAATCCCAGGATCATGGATCTAAAGGTAGAAAGGACCTCTGGGGAGATCTAATCCAACCTCCTTTTTTGGGGGTAACAAATACACAGACAAGCAAAATAAATCCCCAGGTTTGGTCATGTCCAAAGATGTGAGTCTCATTCTGCATATTTAGTGTATTAGCTTCCTTTCAGGAGGTAAGTACCTTTCTTTATCATGGTTGATTATTATAGTGATCAGAGTTCTTAAGTTGTTCAAAATGGCTTATTTTCACAATGTTGTTATAGTATCAGTTGTCCTCCTGGTTCTGCTCACTTCACTCTGCGTCATTCTCCCCAATTTTCTCAGAAACTATCCATTTTGTCATTTCTTTGGCACAATAATATTCCATTACATTATTATACACTAATTTGTTTAGCCATTTCCCAATAGGTGGGTACCCCCTTAAGTTCCAGTTTTTTGCTACTACAAAAAAGCCTACTTTAAATATTTTTGTACATGTGGATCCTTACCTCTTTCTTTGACCCCTTTGAGGCAATGGCCTAATAGTGGTATTGCTGGGTCGAAGGGCATGGACAGTTTAGTGAGCTTTTTGGATGTAGTTCCAAATTGTGTTCCAGAATGGCTGGACCACTCACCCCATGACCGGAGAGGTAATGAACTAAAAATGCAGAAAAAGACATACATTTTGGGGCAGTACTAACATGAAGTTGTTGGGGCTTTTTTTTGGGGGGGTATGTAGGGCTTTAATTTGGAGGGCTTTTTTTTTTCAATTTACTCAATTGAGATATGTGGGAGAGATAATTTTTTTAAATGCTTTAATAAAAACCCCAGAATAGATAAACCAATTTACAACTTCACCAACAATAAATACACACGCGTGCTTGCCTATTTTCTTGCAGCTCCTCTGACATTTGCCATTTTCTTCATTTTTCCTCTTTGCCAATCTGATGGGTATGAGTTTCTCCAATTTACATTACTCTAATTATTAATGATTTTGAGCATTTTTTCTGCATAGCTATAGAGAGCTTGGGTTTCTTCTCTTGAGACTTTCTGTTCATATCCTTTGACCTCCCCCCCCCATTTTACAGATGAAGAACCTTGGGCCCAGGGAGGTAATTAGTAAGGTCATAAAGCTAATAAGCATCAGATGGGATTTGAATTTTCCTAGGTCATCATGAATGGTAGCTTACCCAGCATTTGTAGAAACAATCACTCAGTGGAAAGACTGCTAGACTTGGAAGTCAGGAGACAGAAGTTTCAATCCTGACATGATATTTACTAGCTGTCTGGCCTTGGGCAAATCATGCAACCTCTGCAAGTTCCAGTTTCCTCATCTGTGAAATGGGCATATTAATATTCGTACCTATATCACACTAACCTGTTATGGAAAACATTCTGTAAACCTTGAAGTGTTTTGGAAATATTACTGATAGAATTAATAGCAGTATAATGGGAGTTTCTTGAGAGCCAAGACTCCAGGTCCCTAGTCAAACCCTGAGCCTCCAAGATAGGGCTGTATTTTGTGACATCTCACAGGTTGCTTCATATAGTTTGCTGATGGTAAAAAGTATAAGAAATAAAAGGTGTTGAACCTGGGCCCCTGAGGATTTCTGATGTTTTCTGGTCTCCATTTCTTTTTTCCCAACTTAGGTATTGCCCTGTACCCTGGGCAGGCTCAGTTGTTAAGCTGTAAGCACCATTATGATGTCATCCCCCCTCTGAACAGGCCAGGGCAGCCGGGAGTCGTGAACTGCACTACCAAGAGGATTAATTACACGGACCCTTTCTCCAACCAAACCATGGTAACCCTCCTGGGGGGCTAGTCCAGTCAACCTGAGAGGTTCAGACTTCCCAGGCTCCAAGGATGTGGGCTACATTAACTCCTTCTCCAGCCTGGCTCTGAGAGGCTGATTGCTTAGAATTCCTTGGGTGGGCCCCCGTTTTCCTAATAGCATCCTCTATGGAGGCAGAAAATGGAAAAAAATGTGAATGTGGCTCCAGCAAGATCCCTTACATTGGGCATGTGAAGTGAAATTTATTCCAGGCCTTGCCTAATAATTACTAGACAACTTGCAAATGGCAGCTGATGGGATACTGAAATGGCGTAGCTTTTGTCTGAGGATAGGTAGAAAGGGCTTCTCTTGGGAGCACAAGTTTCTTTTGCAAGCAACATTCTTCTGCCTCAGTGGGGAATTCTTTGAATGTCAGTGTGTGTGTGATGGAGAGGGCCAGTGGTGAGGTGGCGGTGAAGGGCAGCAGACGTCACTGAGAGAAGAAGGGCTTAAAGGATAGAGGCTGATTTCTTGGGATTCTTTTCGGTAGGCTCCCCAAGGTATTCATGGACTTTTCCTAGGCCCATGGATTAGACGAGGTAGGAAATGTGGCATCCTAGCCCCTAACCTTATTCTAGGACAACTCCCTAACAGCATCTTGGGACATGCCACCAAGCCAGGAAATTCTACCCCAAGAAACCAAGATTCGCTGCAGCCCTGTCACCATTTCTACTTCTGTAATCAATCTACGAGCATTTATGAAGCACCTACTATGTGCCAGGCCCTGTGCTCATTGCTGGGGACAGAAAAAGTGAGATGGACCCTACCCTCAAGGAGCTTACATTCTAATAGGGGAGACAACATTTACATAAGCCCTCCTCTCTGTTCTCACTGCCTCTCCCTAGATGTAAGCCCTCCTTATGGCTGGCCTAACCCCTGCAGCACTTCCTTCTTCCAGTCTTTCATACCGTTACTGAAGGAGAAATATAAAGATACAGCCTAATCATTGCTAATGTAGCTCTTTAAGTTTTGCTGAGTTCTTTACGTACATTAACTCATTTAATTCTCACAAAAGCCTTCAAAGGGAGAGGGGAAGGAATAAGCATTTATATAGCACCTATTGTGCACCGTGCTAAACACTTTAATAATAGCTAACATTTCCATAGTACTTACCGTGTTCCATACACTTTACAAATAGCAGCTCATTTGATTCTCACAACAACCCTGAGAGGTAGATGCTGTTATTTCCCCATTTAACAGTTGAGGAAATGGAGGCATATGGCAGTTAAATGACTTGCCCAGAGTCACATGGCTAGTAAGTGAACTCAGATCTTCCTGACTCCAGGCGTGGTACTCTACCCATTGGACCACCCAGGTGCCTAGATTACAAGGGGTTATTATTATCTAGTCCTTGTAGTGCCTGGTACTACATGGTATTATTATTAAAGCCACCATTCTTATCATCTCTGTTTCACAAGTGAGGCAATGAAGGCTCACAGAGGTTGTAGGACTTCCCCATGATCACAACAGAGGCGTCATTTTCAAAATCAAGTTTCTCCGGACTCAAAGTCTGACGTATATTAGGTTGCGTCTCGTATGTGCTGTCTTTCCTTACTAAATTGTCCGTTCCTTATGGCCAATAACTGTTTGATCTTTCTATTTTCCTAGTGGTTAACACAGGGCTCTGCATACCATAGATATTCAACGAATATTTAAAATTGATGTCTTTTGTTTTTACATCACCTACATCAGTCCATCAGTCAGCAAGCATTTATTAAGCTCTTACTGTGTTCCAGGCACTGTACTAAGCTTTGGGAATACAAATACAAGTAGAAAAAAAGTCTCTCCCCTCGAGGGGGAGACTCCTCCCATTGTAATGGGGGAAGACAACAAGAAAGAAGTGAAAAGAGGGATGGAGGTAACTTGGAGCACCGTAGAGAAAGCCCAAATGTGGCCTAGAGAGGAACAAAGACATGACCGGCCTAAGCGCTGTCCTTCAGTGGATGTTCTGGGAGGATCCGTCCAATCAGAAGGACAGTGTGTGAATTCCAGGCCTGGAATGAGCTTCCAGGATGAAGTGAAATCTACATTTACAGATATATCTCCCCTTATCTCCCCAGAAAGCCATCCTTTATAACAAAGATTAAAAAAAGAAAAAAAAGTTCAGCAAAATTAACTGACAGATCAGCCTAGTCTGACAGTGCATGCCTCATTCCACAGCCATAGTCCCCCACCTCTATAAAAAAGGAAGGAGGCCCATTTTCTCCTTTCTTCTTTGAGGCCAAACTTGATCATTCCTTATATATAATTTTATAGTTTCCCACTCAGTTATTCTTTTCATTTACGTTGTTGTCCATATTTGGTATACTGTTTTCTAGTTCATAATATCATTAGATCTTCTTTTGAAAGCCTTCTATTCCAAGTCCTTATTTTCCTCCGGAGGAAACTGAGGTCCTGGGTGGTTGACTTGCCCTGGATCACACAGGTACTAGGCAGCAGAGACAGGATTTGAACTCAGGTCTCTACACTTGAGAGTCCTAGCTCAGTTTTACTGTACTATATTCCTTTCTTGACTTTGCTTCAGTTCATAGAAGTCTTTCTATGCTTCTCTTTGTATCCATCGTATCTGATGGCCCAGCAATATTCCAATACATTCACGTATTGTTTAGCAGTTCCTGGTTAGCTAGATATCTGCAGGGGCTTAGCAAAAGTTGAAATTTGCTGTTCATTTCATGTGCCGTGAGCCTTGGCTAGAGGAAGAATAGGTAGGTAATTCTGAAGAAGGGTAAATGTGGTTTCCACATTAGGCAGAGCAGATAGAAGCCGTCAGCTCTCTTTTCACTAGCATGGGAAGGCTTGAATGGAGTAGGATGTGGCCTGAGGAGAGGTGTCAAAGATCAGAAGAGCTATAATCTTCTTGCCCTTCCCCAATCCCCCACTCACCCATTCTAACTTCTGGTTTTGCTCTTTTCTTTGCGGTAGAAATATGCTCTGATTGTCCAGGGACCCCGGGAAGTAAAGAAGAGGGAACTGGTCTTCCTTCAGTTCCGCCTGAATGAAACCAATGAAGACTTCAGTGCCATTGATTACCTCCTCTTCTCTTCTTTCCAGGAGTTTGTGCAGAGGTAGGGCTGTGCTGAACTGTGCTGGGTTGGGTGGTTGGGCTTGGCTGAGCTGAGCTGGGCTGGGTTGGACTGGGCTAGGTTGGGTTGAGCTGGGCTGGGCTAAGGTTGGGTTGGGTTAGGTTGGGCTGGGTTGGGCTGGGCTGAGCTAGGTTGGGTTGGGCTGGGTCGGTCTAGTCTAGGCATCTTCATAGAGGATCAGAAGCCTTCCATGAAATTGCTGGATTAGAACCTGATCTGGCTGGTAGAGCTAGGAGGAGCAAGTTATCGGGACAAGCTATTTGTCTTCCTTGGCTTTCTTTAGAAACAGAATCCCAAGGCTGGAAGAGGACCTTGAGAGGCCCGTTCCCCTTCCTTTACACCAAACCTTTTAAAAATCTGATCTTGGCAGAGACTGTAATCACAACTAAACCACACAGTGGTGCACAGGTGACAGAGAAATGAGTGAGAGATAGGCTGCAGTGTTCTGCCAAATGCTGGTGCAGGGTCCTTGCGAGGTCATTTGGCTCAGCCAACCTCTTATCCCTAAGTAACTCTGTCAAATCTCTCCAAAACAGATGGGAGGAAAGAGTGGGTAGGGGGAAGATATCTATTTTGTTTTTCTCCTGATTTAAAAAAAATTTTGAACTTAAGAATCAACTAAAATGAGCACTTCCTTATATATAATAGAATAGAAAGAGGTTGTCCAAGAAGCTGGGAATCTCTGTTATATACAGCTTATTTTCTTTTGAAGTATATAAGTTTGACATGCCATTTTCAAAGCTGTCCTTGTCCATGATTCCTTCTGGCCTCCCTTCTGTTCTCTTCAGTGCATTTCAAAAAATGTTTCAACGACCCTCCTTTCTTTCCTTTTTTTTTTTTTTTGGCAGCTCAATTCCTAGCTCTTCCCATTTCTTTCCTCTGCCCTAGCTGAGAAAAAAGAAAAAGAAAATCTTAGTAACAAACATGCATAGTCAAGCAAAACAAATTCCCACTGTGGCTACATCTGAAAATGCCTCACATTCCACAACTTGAGTCTATCACCTCTCTGTCATGAATCTGGCACATTTCATCATTGGTCCTCTGGGATTATGTGCCATGCAGGTAAAGATGTCCAGCAGGAAGTTAGAGATATGGGACTAGAGTTTAGGACAGAAAAGAGCTAGATATATAGATCTGAGAGTCATCTGGATAGAGATGATAATTAAACCCCTGGAAGCTTATGAGATCACTGAGAAATGATATAAAGAGGGGACGTTCTAAGACAGTGTTCTGCATCTACATAGCGAGTAAAACAGATTTAGCCAAAGATTCTGCAAAGGCACTGTGAGATGTGTAGAAGACAGGATGATGACAGGTCCTGAGATTATACTGTGTGAGGACCAGCTGAAAAAAAAACAGGGCATGTGTAACCAAGAGGAGAAACGAGAAGACTTGGCAAACACCTGAGCTGTCGTATGGAAAAGAAATTGAACGTATTTTGTTTGGCCCCAGAGGGTTGTACTGAGAGCAATGGGTGGATCTGGCAGAGGCCAATTCAGGCTTAGGATCATGGATTTAATTTGAAGGGACCTTAGAGGACATCTGGTTCAATCTCTTCATTTTTACAGGTCACACAGGTAGGAGGAGGGAGAGCCAGGATACAAAATGAGATCCCCCAACTCCAAACTCACTATTCTTTCCACTGTACTATGGTTGATGTAAGGAAAAACTTCTTAACAGTTAGAGCTATCCAAAAATGAAACAGGCTGCCTTGGAAGTTAGTGGGTGCTAGAGAATGAATTTCTCTGGAGTAGAGAGAGGATGTTGGGTCTAGCTGCTTAAGTTTTTCTCTCAGGACTAGAGATCAGCTAGGAATTGGAACCTGGCTTTGCTGCTGAGCGATCCTGGGCTAGTTATGTAACTTCCTTCTCTGGAAGGTGGGAGATGGGGGAGTTTGGATGTGATGATTGCCAAGATCCTTTTCCATTCTTTAATTCTATAAATAAGTCTGTCTTTTTCTCCCATCTCTCCCTTCCCCTTCCTTCCAAGCCCAGACAAAGTACGCTTCATGCAGGACTGTGAGAGTGCCTATTCCAGCTGGAAATTCTCTGGGGGGTTCCGGACCTGGGTCAAGATGTCACTTGTGAAAACAAAAGAAGAGGATGGACGGGAAGCGGTGGAATTCCGGCAGGAGGTAGTTGATTCTAGGCTTCCTTTAGCACAGGGAACATGAAAATGATGGGAGAGTCCTGGTGGGTGACTGTGTACATTTCTCTGCTTATGTCTAAAGCTTACCATCTGTCATCACGGTCATCTAGTAACACAGGCCGGTGCCCTTGAGAGGTCTCAACCCTCTTAGGAGCAAGCCTTTGATGAAGAGATAAGAAAATGTACTTCCCTTCCTTCTTTGCCGAGGTGGGGAATTACTGGTATAGAATATTGCATGTATTATCAGGCTCACTTGATGTATTGATTTATTTTTCTGAACTCCTTTTTTTCTTCACTTATTCTTACAAGGAACGTGTGGGGAATTGGGAGGGATTTATTTACAAATGAAGGTGATGTAAAAGCAAAAGATATTGTTAAATAATGTTTTTTAAAGAAAGTTTTTATTGATGCCTTTAGGTTTTTTTTACATCATCATGGTTTTCCTCAGTATCTTTTCCCTATCTTTCCCAGAGAGCTACCCCTATATATCAAAATAGTGTTTTTTTAAGACAAAAAAAAAAGGAAACGAAGAGGGAAAAAAATCAGTATAACATATCAATGGATTGAAGGTATATGTTACACCTCTGGACCTCCCACCTCCATGACTGTGCCTCTGTTCTCTCATATCTCTTCATTCAAGTCATGCTTGAATTTTATAGTTTTGCTACATTCACTTTTGGGCGTGTGTGTATTAGGGTTCTTTCCATTTACATTGTTGTAGTCATCATGTGTATTTTGTTTTTTGGCTCTGCTTACTTCACTCTGCATCAGTTCATGTAGATCTTTCCCTGCTTCTCTGTATTCAACACATTCATCACGTTCATCATTGCTTACAGCACAGTAATACTCTAGTACAGGGATGGGAACCTGTAGCCGAGAGGCCTCATGTGGTCCTCTAGGTCCTCAAGTGCGGCCCTTTGACTGAATCCAAACGTCACAGAACAAACCCCCTTAATAAAAGGATTTGTTCTGTAAAACTAGGACTCAGTCAAAAGGCCATACCCAAGGGCCTAGAAGGCCACATGTGGCCTCAAGGCCTCAGGTCCCCCCCCCCCGTTCTGTTACATTCATTTAACCACCATTTATTCAGCCGTTCTACTTTGTTTCCAATTCTTTGCTGTAACAATAAAGTGCTGCTGTAAATGTTTTGTTGTATCTGGGGACTTTCTTCTTACCATTGCCATTTTTGTCATTCTTGCCAGTTTTCAGAGTATCAGATGTTTTTATTTGCATTTCTCTTATTATCAGTGATTTGGAGCATTCTTTCATATGGTTGTGAATACTTTGCGTTCTTTTGAGAAATGTTTGTTCATATCCTTTGACTATCTTTTGAGGAATGGATATTAGTTTCATGTGTATATATATGTGTATATATATGTATACACATACATATAATTTGTATATCTTGGATTCTAAAATCCTTATCAGAGATTTGATACAAATGAAAAAGAAACAATGCATCAATAAAACTTAAAAAATATACAGGGATAGAAGGGCTCTACAAAGAGGAAACCAGTAAAGGCTTTTTGGAAGGAACTGAAACTGAACTTTGAAGGCCACTAAGGGTTCCAAGAAATAGAGGGACAATATCTATCCCCATCAGGGGGCACAGCCAAGGCAAAGGCATGGAGGCAGGGGATGGGGACTGTTGTGTATGAGAGATAGCAATTAGGCCAGTTTGTCTGGGATGCAGAAAATATAGAGAGTGATGTAGCAAATATAATTATGTAATGTAGAGTGAATAGAGAGTCAATAAGCATTCAAGTGCCTACTTTGTGTCAAACACTGTGCCAACCTTTGGGGAGTAAATTGAAGTGTGGAGGAGAGTATAATCAGCTTGGACTAACAGACTGAAGCCAAATCTGCAGAGTTTTCAATGTCAAACAGCGGAACATATCATATCCTTGAGTCAATGAGGAACAGTTAAAGCTCCTTAAACAAGAGAGCAATGTAGTCAGACCCATGTCTTAGGAAAACCAGCTTTTCATAATAGCTTTGCAGCTATGTGGAAGATGGATCAGGCAGGGACTGGGACTGGACATTTGACTCACCTTCACATCAGTGACACTGACCTGGGCTGTTCCTTGCACAGGACACCCATCTCCCAACTCCGTGCCTTTTCATTGGCTTTCTCCCATGCCTGGAATGCTCTTCCTCCTCATCTTCCCTTTCATGCTTCTCTGGCTTCCTTCAAGGGTCAGCTCATATGCTTCCTCCTACAAGAAGCCCTCTGTGGTTTCTTACCAACCTTTTCCCTCCCCTCCACCCCCGATGCTAGTGCCTTCCCTCTGAACCTCTTTTCCATTTATGCAGTCTGTATCTTGTATGGGAGTTACTTGCACATTATCTCTCTCCTCCATTAGAATGTGAGCTCTTTGAGGGTCACAACTCTGCTTTTGCTTTTCTTTGCATCCCACAATGTCTGACACATCGTAAACTCTTATAAATGTTGACTGACTGGCAGAGAGGCCAATTAAGAGCAGATCCAGGGTGGGTCTGATGTGAGTAGAGGGACTGATGTCACAGATTAACTTAAATTGGAATTTCTAAGACCTGGCCGTAGTTGAATGACTGCAGTGATGGGTGTGCTTTAGAAATGCAGATTTTAGCCAGGCGTGGTGCTGGCCGGTAATCTTTGCTTCCTGGGAGGCTGTCTCTCAGCCCTGAGCTCAGGAGTGCTAAATTGCAATGGGTTACACCAAATAGGTGTCCACACTCTTTAAGGAATCCGTGTTGTGAGTTCCCAGGAGTGGGGAAGGAGGGGAAGAGGAAACCACATTTTCTAGGGATGGGCCAAACAGTCCAGGTCAGAAACAGCAGGTCAAAGCTTTTCTGCGCATCAAGCAGTGGGATCAGATCCATGTCCCAGCACGTCTGGCCTGAGAGAGATGGGGAAAGCCAGCAAATGCAGACTTTGAATCCTTTTATTATATTTTCCTGGGTCTGATGGTGAACGGTGAGGTAGGAAAGGAAGGGAGAAGGGAGGATCTGGAGGAAGGAAGGTGTACAAGGGGATGGTAACGCTGCTTTCTCTCCTTCCAGACAAGCGTGGTGAACTACATTGACCAGAGGCCAGACGCAGAAAAAAGCGTCCAGTTGTTCTTTGTGGTCTTTGAGTGGAAAGATCCCTTCATTCAGAAAGTCCAAGATGTAAGTAATGTTTGTGATTAGCCAGCTCCCTGTACAGTGTAGGATGCAGCTTCCTTTCCTTGGGCAAAATGTCTTCATTTTGTATTTTTTATACATTAACTTCAGCTCACTCCTGTTGGATATAATCTAGGAAAAACTAGTAAAAAAAAAAAATCCAAAGTGACTATTGCCATAGGGAACCAGAGCAGAAAAGTACACATAATTGAGCAGAGTGGCTAGGAAGGGAGCAGAAGCCAACCTCTTGCTTAAATAAGAGATTATGAAGATGAGTGTCCCCTCATCAGGGGTATTGTGACAGGCGTCTGGCTGACAGCCTCTGAAATTAACGAGCTTTGTGTTTGGTGGCAACTACATGGTGGGATGGATGGAGCCATGAATGTGGAGCCAGGAAGACCCAAGTTCCAATCAGCTTTTGCCTTATACTAGAAGTGTCTGAGGCCTCACTCACTAGGTGTACAACCCCGGGGGCAGCTAGGTGGTACAGTGGATAGAATGCCAAGCCTGGAGTCAGGGAGACTCATCTTCTGAGTTCAAATGTGTCCTCAGACACTTACTAGCTATGTGACCCTGGGCAAGTCACTTCACCCTGTTTGCCTTAGTTTCCTCATCAGTAAAATGAGCTGGAGAAGGAAATGGCAAACCACTCCAATATCTTTGCCTAGGAAACCCCAAATGGGGTCATGAAGAGTAGGACAGGACTAAAATGAAATAACTGTATGACCCTGGGCAAGTCACTTACCCTCAATGTACCTTAGTTTCCTTCTCTCTAAAATGGGTATAATAGTAATACCTACCTCTCAGTGTTGTTATGAAGATCAAATCATGATAACATATGTAAGGTAGTTTGCAAACTTCATGTGGTACATAAATGCTATCATCATCACAGCACTGCCAAGTCTCACTTTAAAGTGAGAGGATTCAATCAGACCAATCAGGGGACAAGTATTTATTAAGCGCTTACTTTGTGTCAGAGGCGCTGTGCTGGATTCTGGGGATTCAAATATAACGAGTCAAATAGTTCCTAAACACAACGAGCTTACATTCTAAGGACAACAACTTCCATTTACATAGTGGTATACAATTTACAAAGCTTTTTTTTTTTAGGTAATTGGGGTTAAGTGACTTGCCCAAGGTCACACAGCTAGTGTCAAGTGTTTGGTCTGAGGCCAGATTTGAACTCAGGCCCTCCTGACTTCAGGGCTGGTACTTCCACTGTGCCACCTAGCTGCCCCTATGAAGCTTTTTACATACCAAGTTTCATTTGATTCTCTCCACTACTTTGTGAAGTAGAGTGCCATCTTCCTGTTATTCATGAACAAATAAGCTTAGTGATAATAATAAAAAAATCTTTAAAGTTTGCAAAACGCTTTACATGTATTATCCCATTCAGCCTCACATCGGGAGGTGTTATCCTCACTTTACAGACAGAGGAAACTGAGGCACATTGAAGTTAAGTGACTTGTCCACTAGGAAGTATCTGAGGAGAATTTATACAGCTCCTCCTGAATCCAAGTCCAGTGCCTTATCCACCGTACCTCCCACCTGGCTGTCCAGAGAGGTTGTGACTTCACCTGAGTATTAGTTAGATGAGAACAGATCAGTTCTCAGAGCAGTCCCCAAAGAAAACAGTTGTTAGAGATGACAAAGACCCACGACGGACTTCTCTGCTTCCCTGAGTTGTTTGAGCATGGTGTATCATCTTATGCATTCAGCCGAGGCAGAGAGCCATCCATTAGTCAAAATAGAATGCTTGACAAAGAAGTTGGCATCTTATTGGTCTAGAAACAATGAATGTGCCCAACGGCATATTATGTAGGTCGATATCTTGGCAGAAGGTGTGAAGCATAATTGGGGTGTTTATATGCATAGATTTTTTTTAAAAAACTATGATTATTTTTGGAACCAACTCATCATGAATAATTGGGCAAATTTGGGAAGTTTGGAAAGATAGTAAGAAAGCAAGTTGTGTATAACCAAACTGAATAATCATCTGAGAACTGAGTTTGGAAATCACATCCTATGTTCAGGATAGGGCCTGGCACAGGGAACTCCCAACCTATGCAGGTCATCACCTTCTTGGTAACTTATAGTCTTATATAAGTGTTGCTTGAGCACTGAGGGTAAAATGACTTGCCCAGGGTCACACAGCCCTATGTGTCTGAGGCAGAGGTTATAAGCTGGTCTTCCCAGAAGGGAGACTGGTTCTTTATTTGTGATGCCACACAGGAGAAATACTGGTTATCTGCAATGCAGATTTGCTCTGAGTGATCTCAATTCATTCAGTTAACCAAACTGGTTCAAATGACTTTAAAATTTAAGCAAAAATGTTGTGAACTGAGATAATTTCTTCCAAATACTGGCTTATGGGGGAAATGACAATTGGTAGGATCATATAAGGTGAGCTATTGCATCAAGTATTGTTCCAAATTAGAAAGCAATTTATTGAAAAGCAATCACATCATTCTCTTTTTTTTTTTTGGTGAGGCAATTGGGGTTAAGTGACTTGCCCAGGGTCACATAGCAAGTGTCAATTGTTTGAGGCCGGATTTGAATTCAGGTCCTCCTAACTCCAGGGTCAGTGCTCCATCCACTGTGCCACCTAGCTGCTTCTCTTGATGGTCACTGTTACACACATAATCTTTTGGGGGCAGCTAGGTGGCACAGTGGACAGAGCACAGGTCCTGGATTCAGGAGGACCCGAGTTCAAATCCCGCTTCAGACACATAACACTTACTAGCTGTGTGACCCTGGGCAAGTCACTTAACCCCATTGCCTAGCCAAATCAAAAAAACCAAACCAAACAAAACAAACGTAATCTTTTCAGTCACTGAGCAGCAGCTGATGAAAATTTTTATAAAGTTCAAAAATCAACTAGAGCCACATACAGCACAAGACTGTGGTTAAGTTGAATTTACTAAGAAACATTAATATCTTAAAACTTGTGTGATTTACTTGTCAAAGTTTTTTAAGTTTATAGCATTTACACTTTTGAAGTTATTTCAACTTTAAACTAAGACTTTCAGGACACCCTATATAATACAATTTTACTCCACGGGTTTTGAAGTTTTCTTTAAAATGAAGTGTTACATTATTGCAGAAAATCTGCTGACCACTGAACCTAGATAAATGCCAATATCCCTCCGAGCTAAAAAATGTCGAGCCCGAGTCATGGGCCAGCTTTACAAAAGGTTCTAACCACCCCGAGTCAACCTCATCATGGCACACCTCAAAGGCAGAGGCAGTTTACAATGTAGTCACTCCGTTGTCCTGATGTGGTAGCTGAGGGCTCTCTTCGGGGATATCTTCAGTGGATAAGTTTCACAGGTGTGAGCTCCAGCAAAGACCGTGTATCATGGATGTATTCCCAGAGTGAATGCATGTGGCTTTCCAGTGCTATATATTACAACCAACACTGGTGTCAAAGACTGATTATATATGGGGGTCTGTGTAGAGTCAGAGTGGTACAGGTACTCCAACACTGTGCCAGACAGTATACAAAAAGTTCCAGAAGTACATAGAACAATTCGGTACATGGAGTAGGAGTTTGAAAGAGGCATAGGTAAGGGCAAGTCTCCAGTGAGGGAACAGGATTTGGGCAACGGATGGGAAGGCTTTGGAGAGGCAAAGGAGGAGAGGACATTCTAGGTGAGGGAAATGGCATAAGTAAAAACTGGAGACAGGATATGTAAGGTAGACAGATTCTAACAAAATCAGTGGACTGTCATGGCTAAAGTGTCAAGTCTGAATTGCAGAGTGGTGAGAGGAGACACACCAAGGGAAAAAAGCAAAGGTAAAAGGTAGGAATGGTGATTTTAGCCTATTGGATTGGTACTGTCTTAGACTGAGGCCTTCACTTAATAGGACATGCCAAGTACTGTAGAAGTAAATTAAAAATTTTAATTAATCTTACATTAGGGGCAGCTAGGTGGTACAGTACATAAGGTGCCAGGCGGGTATCAGGAAGACAGAAGTTCAAATCTGTGTGTGGGTCTGAATTCAAATGTGGCCACAGACACTTACTAGCTGTGTGACCCTGGACAAGTCACTTAACCCTATTTGCATCTGTTTCCTCACCTGTAAAATGAGCTGGAGAAGAAAATGGCAAATCACTACAGTATCTGCCAAGAAAACCCCAAATGCAGTCATGAAGAGCTGGACGTGACTGAAAAACAACTAAACCATAAATTTCTATTTTTCAGATCATCACTGCCAACCCTTGGAATACAATTGCTCTTCTTTGTGGAGCCTTCTTAGCATTATTCAAGGCAGCAGAGTTTGCCAAACTAAGTGTGAAGTGGATGATCAAAATCCGAAAACGCTACCTGAAAAGGAAGGGTCAAGCAACCAACCACATCAGCTGAATGCACCTGTGTGGGACATTATTGATACACTGGGTGGAACTGTGAACTTGATGGATGCTAACCCCCCAGCTGGGACAAAGCCAGCCAGTCACCACCAAGCCTGCATTTGCCTGAACAGATATTTGTCATGCTTAAAAGGGACGGTTTGGAAAAATAGCCCTCCTGACTTGGCCCGAGAAGAGGCTGACTGGAGCTCAGGACGGGTCCAACTGCAACTCCTAAAGTTATTTAAATGTTTAAGTTATTAATGAACCATTAAAAAAAATTGGACCAACAAGCAAATTAGGGGTGGGAGTTCAGGTAGCTTGACAAATGACCTCAACTGTGTAAGATGCTGTGCTATGTCTTTCTCTGTGTTGGAAATACACTTCAACATTCCTCCATGGTTTTGATGGAACACAGCTGCTTCAAGAGCCTACGAGCCTTCTAGGTGAACTGCGCTTCTCTTAAGATGGTTATGGTGCTGCAAGGACATCAGACTTTTCTCCTGATCCACCAGGGCAGCAGTCAGGAGAGCTTGGGCTCTGACACCTTCCCTGAATCTGTGCATTGTCCTGTAGTACAAGTGCATCATGTCCCATCAACGTGAGACTGTCAGCAGCTGATGAGCTTTTTCACGTGGAATATGAAGTGACATAACATCTTTTAAAGTTACTTGAAATGAGTGATTAAATGTCTCCTGAATGGCCGTTCACTTAATTGTCCAAGCGTTACACATCAGTAGCCACACAAAAGCTTGAAGAAATAAGTTCTACTTGACACGTGAGGACAGGGAATGGGGGGAACAAATGTCTGGGGAGGAAGCCAGCCCAGAGAGGGCAGGGTAAGCAGGGCTTGTAGGCTAAACACATTTGCCAAAACTGCTCCTTTATCCTGTGACTTCTCTCACATTAGAAAGGTGTCAATTTCTATGCTGATGAGGAAGTTAGTTAGTTAACACTTTACCCTTACTTCCAGAATGATCGATTCTCAGGCTTGACTGCAGTCCATCTGCGTCAGGAGGGAAGGGAGACTGGGGGTGGAGGGTAGTAGTGGTGGGGGCACACGAAGGAAGTGACAGTGGCCGCCTGTTTAAGCTGGCCTCCATCAAGGCTCTATAAATAAATTGTGCTAATTTCTTTGTACCCCTCACGGTTCCATCAGTTTAAGATTCCCCTTATGGTCTGGTCTCTGACTTTTAATGCTTCTGTTCCAGTGGGATGGGTCTCAGTACTTAGTAGGGGAAGGGAATAAGCATTCAATGGCACCTACTATGTGCCAGGCCACGTGCGAAATACTTCACAAATATCTCAACTGATCCTCACAACTGTGGGAAGGTAGGTGCCATTATGATCCTCATTTTACAGACTGAGGCGGGCAGAGGTTAAGTGATTTGCCTAGGGTCACCCAGCTAGTATGAATCTGAGGGCTGGATTTGACTTCCTGACCCCAAGCCTAGTGCTCTATCCACTGTGCCACCAGTTGTCCCTGGTGCCATAGAGAAATGAACTCTACCCAGGCAGAAACAAACACCTGCATGATTTCTTGAAGTCTCTTCCAGTGCATAAGCAATCATGGACCAAATCAGAACAAGTTTCAGAATTTTCACCATGCTGTTGCTCTTCCAATGGTTGGGAGAAGGGGGGAGTGCCAAGTTGATAAGTGGGGCACATCTGTCCTGTGTCCAACAGGGAAGCAAGAGTTCTGCTTTTGACCAAGGAAGCCCATCTGAAAGAAACTATCCCTTGCAATTTTTCTCCTCCACAAAAGCACAAGAAAACAATCCCAGCGGTGCTTTCTCCCTACATCTTGTTCTAGGGCAAATGCAGAGCCAAGCATACAATTTATTTCAAAAACACTTGTGAAAGCTTACATTAATAGTACTAAAAGTAGCCTCATTAGAGGTATTTTAGAAATAAATATCTTTTAAAGATGATGGGTCACTTTAGTGTTGCTTAAAACTTAATAAAAACATACTTCGAAGGCCACCTTGAACTGTGATGCCTACATCATATAAAGTTCACAGAGACCTTTTAAAATGCATTTTGGACAGAATAAACTTTGGAGAATCAGAAAAGGATACAAGCATCTTTAGCTATTTAAAGAAAAATACTGTTAAAACAATTAGCTACATAGCCAAGCCAAAGCCTGTAGTCCCACTGTTCAAGTGAAAAAAAAAAGTACTCCTATTACTTACCCTAAAATAGAAACTTTATAGAAAGGGAGCCTCCCAGCAGGCAGAAGATGAGGCTGCCTGCCTACCCTTCCTTCTCTTGGAAGGCAGCTGCTGCTGCTAGTCCATCGCCTTCACCCACATTTCTGTGGTTGGGAGTCGCTCATTGAATCTTGCTGGTGTTAAATTGGTATCTGTAGTTAAAGCACTTGGAGTAACAACATTTTAAAAGTTTACAAAGAGCTCTCCTCACAACAAGTGGGCAGTGGTTTATCATTATTCCTGTGTTACAGATTGGGAAAAAGGGAGAGAGATTTATTTGTATGGCACCTACTCTGTACCGTGAAAATGGAGATGCAGAGAAGTTACCTGCTTGGAATCACACAGGCTCATAAGTGATGTGGGTGGGATTCAAATGAGGGCAAGGGAATTTCGGATCTTGCGCTGGGACAATGAGCAGACCCTAGGGGAGGATACCTGCCACAGTCGAGAATACTTCAAAGGAGGTTGCTTCCGCAGGAACCCGAGGGAAATAACCCGCAGTGCACAAAGAAAAAGACAGATACTTTTACGGGAAAAGGGGTTCTTAGCCTTTTTTGTGTCATGGACTCTTTCTTAGAATGTTTTAGCAGAAAGGAAACAAGTATTTATATTAAGTGCTTTTATGAGCCAGGCACTGTGCTGCATGCATTACAATTACCACACCATTTAATCCTCACATCCTTGTCAGGTAAGTCTATGATTGTCCCCATTTTACAGCAAAGGAATCGAAGGCAAACAGAGGTTAAGTGACTTGCCCAGGGTCACACAGCTAGTAGGAGTGTCTGAGACTGGATGTGAACTTGGGTCTTCCTGACTCTAGGCCCTGTGTTTTATCCACAGTGGCACCTAGCTACTGCGCTTTAAATGTGTAAAATAAAACACATAGGATTATAAGGAAAGCCAATTATATTGAAGTATAGTTATCAAAATATTAAAACAGAGACAAAAGCTAATAAACATTTACATAGCACTTATTAGGTGCCAGGCGTTGTGCTCGAGCACTTTACCATTATTATTTCACTTGATCCTCACAACAACCTTGGGGAGTGGGTGCTATTATTATTCCCATTTTGCATTTGAGGAAAATGAGGCAGAGGGGAAGTGACTTGTCCAAGGTCACACAGCTAGCAACTGCCCGAGGCCCGATTTGAACTCGTCTTCCTGACTCCAGGCCTGACACCCTTCCTCCTCTGTGTCCCCTAGGTTCACAGACTTCCAGTTAAGAATGCCTGGCAAGAGAATGGATAGCTGATGCAATTAACCCTAAAAAAATTTTACTTCTTCCAAAAACAGTCTCTGCTAACAGGGGGGCATGGTTTGCACTACAACTTGTCTTCCTGCACCCATTCTATGAAGACTAATTTTCAAATTGATTTGCGTTCTCTAAGTTCGCCTGGGCCGTATGGTGTGCCGGAGAGGCCAACGTAGGATTTTAAAATTTCCTACAAATCAATCCACCAGAGTAAGCTCCAGCTGACAGCTGTTGATTACTATTGGCTGCACCACTTAGCCCTGGCACCCACCTTCGTGCTTTGATAAGCAGCATACATACCTATGGGCTCCATCATTGCTTTTTACACCAGGGTAAGCGTCATACTTGAGTTCAGCTATTTTATCAAAATAAACTTTGCTGGATGATTCCACTGGCGACATTTCTAGAGCCTGGCGGTCAGAAGTCAAAGATAACACACAACAAACTACAAACATAGACTTTATTAAATGCTGCTCAATCCCCCAGTGAAGATCTTCCATTACAAAACAGCTTTCTATGCAACCGCAAGAGACTGGAATGGTGCTCTGATAGCAAAAGATGCGAGAAACATCTGATCAAGTAAAAATGTACAAGGCCCCCAGAATCAGTTTCTTGAGTCTTCCATTTAGGAAGCGCACTGCATTTCTTTTAAATAAAGCCGGGCAGTGATCATTACAGCTCCGCATCCCCACACCGAGGGACCCAAAGCCTCCATCAGTGGGGAGGGGGAGGAGGGGGAGAAGAGGGAGAGAGGGGTGGAGGGAGGGCTCCAGAGGCCCTGCCTTCAGCCCTGTGCTTCATGGGGAAGGGAAGAGGAGGAATGAATGAGAGGTAATGTTGGAGATCACGTCACCATCACACTTCTACGAAGCTGCCTGCTGACCGGTGAATGTCATCAATGGGAGGGCAGGTAAAGGGGGATGTTCTCCAGCTGACCATGAGGAACATTCTGGAGAGTTTTGGTTTTATTTTTCCCAGCTTTTATTTCTAACTTGTGCTTTAAAAATATCACAATTTTTTTCCTGGAATTTTAAGCTTTTCACTCAAATTCCAGAATACAGTAATATCTTTAAGGACAAAAGGTAAAGGGCAAGCTAGGCTATTCCTCCCTTTGTGTTATTGGAAGGAAAAAGGAAAGGAAGGATTGTACCTTAGTTTTATTTTAGGAAATACTGCCTTTCCTAGAACTCAACCAAGGTGTGCAGCAATGTGAAAAGCACATTTAAAAAATGTACAGAGCAGACTACTACATCTATGTGCAATGCAACACAATCAAAAAAAAATTCAAGTCATAATTCTCACCACTCCCATAATTATCTCACTCATATCACGTATAATAAAAATTCATTCATTTCTGTGAAACCTCAGAAGTGACACAATAAATCAATGATTAGACAAAAAAGTTACAATATACTGTGGTCATGATGTAACATATGGCTATGTTTAGTCCACAAATTTTTCATTTACAGATGCCAGGAAAAAAAAATTGGCCTTTTAATTACATTATACTGTTGAGGTTTTTCCTTTGCAAATTTTTACATATTTCAAAAAAGTGTGTACAAAAAGTCTGCCTTTCAAGCAGAAGTCGTCATCATTTCATTTCTTTGGCACTTGTACTGTTGAGTGCATTGTGCACACTGTGAGTACTGTTATGCTTTTCAGTCAAAGCTTTCTTTAACTTTAGCTCCTCCAATTTCTTCCATAATTCTTCACGTTCCAATTCCTTTTTTTTCTCTCTGCAGAAGATATCGAACACAATTGCAATCAGATGTGTTTAAAACAGTGCTAAGAGAAACATACCATGCATCATAACACTGATGGGGAAAACAGACCTCATCCACATTCACTAAACCATTCTTTGATAGAGCATTTGATAAATAAAATAAAGTATATCTACCTCATCTCAAGCAACAAGCCAGTATGTGTGTTCCTCCCCTCATTTTTATGGCCCCAAAATAAAGCCTTGGAGGCAATGATTCGTGAGACTTAACTATTGTTTCTACAAAGGGAATGCTCATTTACTGACCAATTTATCCTGTTTCTAACTTGTTTGTATATAGTTATTT